TATATTATATAGTGGGTACAAGAGTGTCGATCGATATAGTATGTCTATGCCTATGGAGTCTTAGTACATATTCCATTTTCTCGTGTTTCAATAAGACAGTATATATATATATATATATATATATATATATATATATATATATATATATATATATATATATATATATATATATATATAGTTTTCGTTTTACCTCAAAAAACCACAACAGTCTGTTTCATCCGTATAGGAATAATCAGGTGGTGAATAATTTCGAAATTGTAGGTTGCTTTTATGCTATCGAAAGAATGTGCGGAATGCGTGTAGGCGAAACAATGCTTAGGTGAAACAATGCATGCTTGGGTCATTAGGTTTTGTTAACGACCTTGTTTACTCGAAACCGGTTTTTGTGACAACATTTGCCGAAAATTTCGCTTCTTTTATTGAGTAAATTGTCTTTGTTTATGTCTTTCAAAATGCAAAATTTTTCTTCCAAACATAAATTGCAGCGTTTTGATCCCCCTGTGTACGAAATAGCGTGTTTTAAAATTGACCATTTGATGGTATAATCCTGATTGTTTTCTTTTAATTTCCAAATATGTTTCGAAAGTTCCGTTTTGTTTGAGTCTTTTTTATGACGAAAGGATGAAGTGTGGTTAGCGTAACGTTCCTTAAATGTAGTCGCTGTCATACCAATGTAGTGTTTAGTATCGTTCGTGTTGTTCGTTGTGACTGTTGCTTTGTAAATAATGTTGTTGGTCATGCATTGTTTCGGTAGTGGGCAAGTGTTTTTGTTGTCGCAGTTACAGTTGTCAGTTTCCGTATTCTGTGATTGACTGTTCCTAATTATATGTGCGTTGTGTCTGGTGATTATAGACTTAACGTTGTTCATGCAACTGTAGCTTACTTTTAAAGTGTTTCTGTTAAAAATCTTGTGTAGTTTGTGCTGTAGCGGGAAGTGTTTGTCAATTAAACTTAAGAATTCCCGTCCTATGTTCGTGTTAACACTCTTACTAAATGGTGGGTTGAACCAAATTATGTTGCGTTGCCTATTCCTACGTGTCCGTTGCGGTGTATTCTCAGTGTACGTAAATTCATGATCAAAGTTACTATGTGTAAGAGCATTCTAGTAAATAGGTGGATTCCTTAAATGTTTGTTCGTCCGATGAGAGAAGTGCAATGCGTTTGTTGATAGCTGTAGGTAATTGTCTTGTAATGCTTGGTGGATGGTTTGAGTGTCTGTGGATGTACAATGGATCGTCATTGGGTTTCCTGTATGGTTTGTGTTTTGCTTTGATCAGGTCGAAAGTAACATCTAAAAAATTTACAACGTTCATATTTACTTCGGCGGTGATTTTAAGGTCAAATTGCTCGAAAATTTTGTGTAGCTCTTTTCTAGTTTTGTCTAGTAAACAGGCGGATTTGCTTTTTATAATAGCCAAACCATCATCTCTATAAAGTCCGATGTTTTCCTTGCCAAACCTCTTACCTAAGTGATATATATATATATATATATATATATATATATATATATATATATATATATATATATATATATATATATATATATATATATATATATACATACATACATTTGAGTCTTTTTTATGACGAAAAGATGAAGTGTGGTTAGCGTAACGTTCCTTCGGACACGTAGGAATAGGCAACGCAACATAATTTGGTTCAACCCACCATTTAGTAAGAGTGTTAACACGAACATAGGACGGGAATTCTTAAGTTTAATTGACAAACACTTCCCGCTACAGCACAAACTACACAAGATTTTTAACAGAAACACTTTAAAAGTAAGCTACAGTTGCATGAACAACGTTAAGTCTATAATCACCAAACACAACGCACATATAATTAGGAACAGTCAATCACAGAATACGGAAACTGACAGCTGTAACTGCGACAACAAAAACACTTGCCCACTACCGAAACAATGCATGACCAGCAACATTATTTACAAAGCAACAGTCACAACGAACAACACGAACGACACTAAACACTACATTGGTATGACAGCGACTACATTTAAGGAACGTTACGCTAACCACACTTCATCTTTTCGTCATAAAAAGACTCAAACAAAACGGAACTTTCGAAACATATTTGGAAATTAAAAGAAAACAATCAGGATTATACCATCAAATGGTCAATTTTAAAACACGCTATTTCGTACACAGGGGGGATCAAAACGCTGCAATTTATGTTTGGAAGAAAAATTTTGCATTTTGAAAGACATAAACAAAGACAATTTACTCAATAAAAGAAGCGAAATTTTCGGCAAATGTCGTCACAAAAATCGGTTTCGAGTAAACAAGGTCGTTAACAAAACCTAATGACCCAAGCATGCATTGTTTCACCTAAGCATTGTTTCTGCACCTAAGCATTGTTTCGCCTACACGCATTCCGCACATTCTTTCGATAGCATAAAAGTAACCTACGATTTCGAAATTATTCACCACCTGATGATTCCTATACGGATGAAACAGACCGTTGTGGTTTTTTGAGGTAAAACGAAAAACTATATGACGCTCTATCTATATTATATATATATATATATATATATATATATATATATATATATATATATATATATATATATATATATATATATATATATATATATATATATATATATATATGTATGTATATGTATATTCCCCAGGGCCCTCACTATTTTAGGTAAAAGTATATGGGTTAATATACCTTACATTAAATAATGATAATTAAGTAGTTAAAGATCCAGATATTAAATAACTAATTAATGATCCCAAGTCAATTCCTAAAAATCATCAATTAAGGCAATCTTATGTCCATACATCATATGAACAAGCACTATCAAATTGTGCTGTAAAGAAAACAGAAATCAGCAAATTGATGCAAGTCGGGATCAGAACACCTTTAAAGTTAGTAAATCAGTTTAAAACAATCAACGTATTGGACTAAATTGTACGCTTTCTCAAAGCTCAGAAGTTCAAAAATAGAAAAAATTTGAGGATGGACCCCCAGACTCCCCTACAAGCTAGGTCCTACTTTTCCAGGTCACCACCTCCTAGTTACCTCTCTTATTCTTGATCAGGCCCCCTCCACAAATTCTTAAAAGAGGCTATGGCACCTGAGTGATTCAGAATGAGACTTGTTATACACAATCATGTTGCTCAAAACTAAGGAATTATAAGCATTGTTTTTTTTGTGAGGCAGAAACATCCTTGAGGCACAGACGAGAAGCAACCAAACTCCATTTACCAGTACCGTACATGAGTTTTCTTCAAGTGCAAGGATGCTACCCAACCTTTAGAGTAAATCTCATACCAATTGTTGGTCCTATATTGCAGTAAATTTTATTACAGCTGTATGTACCACAGAATACCACACAAATTTACATGTTCCATATCTTTTGTCAAATGCATATAACATATAGCCTGTTAAATATTTTTAGTATAGTTTTCATTATTTTTTTCTTCCTGTGGGGTCTAACCCCAGTTAGATTTGGCAGATTCTATTATTTTTTAAATCGGACATTCTGTGGATAAAATCCTAATGCACCACAGAATACCAGTGCGGTAATAAGTATTATAAAATAACATGTATATAACCCGTATTCTGATTGGTCGAAACCCATCCAAACACGGAAGACTATCGTGTTGTTGTTATTTTATAAAACAATTACTTTATGGTTTCCATGTTTGGATGGAATGATCCAAACACTTGGGAATGTTGCTCGAGTTAAGAAAAGCGGGCAAAATCACTCGCCTTCGGCTCGTGATTTCGCTCGCTTTTCTTAACCCTCGCAACATTCCCGCGTGTTTGGATCAGGCCATCCAAACACGGAAACCATAAAGTAATTGTATAAGGAACAATTTATCAAATTGTACGATGATTTGGTGTGTCATGTTGTGTGATAACACTGTACAGATTAACTAACTTAATTTAGTGGAAGGTAAATACTAAAATCACTACAGAATACCGGTGGTATGTACCACAGTATATTAGGTTTACTAATAATTTTGAAAAATTGAGTTTTTATAGTAAATTTGATTACTCAGTGAGATTTCTGAATAGTAAAAATGTTGTATGGCTTAGAAAAACTTTTGATGAATGTTGGTTTGCGAACTTATTTTCAAATTTTCTGATTTTACGGGCATTAAGCAGGAAAAAAAAGTACCAAAAATAAGGAATTTTATTTGTTGTTTATCCCGATTATTTTTAAGAATAATTTGATGAAAAACTAATATATATTCACAAAAATAAGGTATATAGCATGTTTCCTTCACATTTCATAAGAGAAATTAAAAAACTGGTATTCTGTGGTATTGTGATATTCTGTGGTACATACACCTGTAAATTAACCCACTGATCGCCAGTGCTCTCCCTTGACAACTAAAATAATAAAGTAGGGCGCATTAGGATGCAATGCAACTTGATGGGTTAATACAGTGTAAGTTCCTTCTCACCAAGAACCTGCTATGCCCACTGATCAGCCATGGTTGATTTGATCTTACTTATAAGTACCGGTATATACATATCATAATATTAGGGCTGCAAACACTCATGCTCAACTTCTGATCAGGAATTTTAAATAAACACAGGATCATGGCTTGGCTTTGAAATAGACATCATGCCAGCACACACCCACCATGCCAACTAATGTATATTAGATGAAACCAATTTTAATTAACTTCCTGCTACATCAAACTGGAAACTCCTATTTACACTTTAAAATACTGCTCACTTCTGTACTATAATTATAGGTCCGTGTTAGTAGCCCGAATTTCTTAAATATACAATAGAATGAATACCTATTTTAACTGAAATTATCAACAAATCAACAAAGTAATATATGTTTTATGAAGTACAACACGGAAGTGTTTGTGCAATTTGAAAACATTGAGCTCAAATTTCAGTATTTAATATTTGTTTGCACCTGATCAAAACATTATCACGTACGAATGTTATAGATTATTTACAGTGTTCAGAAGCAAGAAATAAGCATCACCAACGCTTATGATCTTTTGTTTTGTTTATATTTTTAAATCAATCACCAGTGACTCGCCCTCGTCACGATTGAATCCTCGCAGGCATTTCGAAATTATCATGGAATGAAATTCGAACGTGAGCATATAATATGGCTTTCTTTATGATCTCAGTAATCGTCACAGTATTTCGGCCAGAAAGCCGACGTTTGCTGGCCGAGTAAAATGTGATATTAGTTAAGAGTATTACTATACTAAGTCTGTTTCAATCTTACCTGATTTGACATCATTTATAGCAAACGATATTATGATAAGCCATGCCGTATATAGCCATGACAGGCTTCCTTTCCTCATCGCGTCTGTTATCAGCTGATTAGAAAACACTTGCTTTCAGTTCGATACTTTAATAGGTCTTGTGAATTTTCAGTACTTTAGCGAAGACTCTCGTTTCATCGAATAAAGTTTACAGCGAGCGTAGGCGAGCTGTTATTACGAATCATGAATATCAATAATAAAGACGTTTCCCTTTCACTGTCAGCGGTATGAGACAGGAATGCTGCATTTATAAGTCACTTGAGTACACAAAGGAAGCAACGTGAAAATATAATGAGGCGTTAAAACTAAAAAGACCAAACTACTTCCGCAAATATCCTCTTACACTATAAAGTCCCAATATTAACCAATAATATTTTGAATTTTATCCTTTCTTCCATTCTTTCGCCTTCCCACGCTTGATATATGTGACATGACCGAATATCTGTGAGGACGTGACGGGCTGGCCCGCCTGCAAAGGAGGCTAGAACCGCCCTACTTGAAATGGTGCACAAGCGGCCCAATCTCGCAAGGGTCAGTATAGATTTTATACCATAGAAGCTTTATACAGTATAAATTTATATTATATTATATTAATTGTATATTATAGTAAAAATATGTCGTAAAATATAAATTTTAAAATGAAATTACTTGCCTATTTGCTAGTGTGTGTTCTCCTTTTATTCCTCCTTTGTTGGACTAATATTTTCCGAGACTTTGTACTCTATGTTACTAGTATACATACAATTATATTGCTAAAGAACGATGTTACATACAATTATATTGCTAAAGAACGAATCATAAACACCGATCACACTTGTCCAGAAAAACAATCATAAAACGTGCTCACTTGCGTAGGTACTTCAATACTTGGGGGTGGAAACGGAACTTACGACTTTAGATATTACTATTGTTCTGTTACTTTCGGATAGATGTTCGCAAATAATTTTTTACTGATTTTCTATATTCTGAGTTTTGTGTATAACCAGGTTTTCTAACAAAACAGCAATATTCCGTATGCCCTCATTCATTAGAGCATAGACAATCCAGAAGACATATATATGTCTTCAGGATTGTCTATGATCAGAGCAATCGTCTGTACCACAGCGCCCGTACGAGGCGGCATCGAATACACTCAAAGAGCGGCTGCGAGGGAACTGCATTGAATAGCGCCGAAATGTAAACAATCGACAATATTCCATATAGTCATGCTTCAAAAATCTTTATTCAATATTTGACTTACACTGAGCCCCTATTTCGCATTCCAATTTTTATCTTTAATTTAATCAAATTGTTTCAGGATTAAATTAATAAAGTGAAAACATAGATGTCATAGATTGCATTCGTAGAACAATCCCACATCCTGTTGTATTTGGGAGCTTAGGTTGATAATTAAAGCAGGTAATGAAGTATTTATTCAAGAAATGATAGAACAGAAAGCCAGGTTATAATATTAGAGCTCACAGCAAACACAACGCGGCGTCACAGAATAAAGACATACAGAAGTGTAACTTCCATTACAAAACCGTATGGCGATGGACCCCCCTGGAATATTAAATTTTCAATATGTTTTCAGGGGAGTGACTGCCTCTCTTTAGGGCACTTGCTAGGAACATGGGGGACTGAAAAAAATCCCTTACGCACTTTTAATAAGAAGATACACTTCTGTATGTCTTTATTCTGTGGCGGCGTCGACCTCGACGAGTACGTGAATCGAAAATGGCGTGGCATGTGGGATTTTCACTTCCGGTTAATCTAGGATGTCGTCACGTTGTGTTCAGGAGTTAGGACGGCATTAGCAAGCGATTTTTTTGTCAACACGGATGTCACCCGAAAATTGATAACTAATTTTGACTTCGATCACCACAAACTGAGACACAAGGGCCGCGGAACCGGGGGGGGGGGCAATCGAGGCATGTGTCCCTCCCCACATTTTGTAAAAGTGAAAACGTGCCCTTTTTCTGGGCTAAACTGCCCCATTTGATGGGGAACGAAAAAAGTATTTCTTGAATGAACGCAGGGGCGCCGGAGCCACGGGGGGCAGCGGGGGCAGCTGCCCCCGTTGCCTAAACAGTGCGGGGGCAGCACGGGGGCAGCAGGTTGCCTTTTTTTACCAGAAATGCATTTGGAAAAGTGAAACAAGTGAAAAAGGAAGCCTTCCTAAGTAACTGACAACTGTCATGTTGCTTTACAATACATTTTAGTCTTTAGTGTCATGCAACGAATAAAAATGTTCCAATCTATGTCGAAATTTGTCTAACTGTATTAGCTACAAGTAATGAAGTATCCGCAATCCGTTATACAGCAAACTGTTAACGAACATTGCCCCCCCCCAAAAAAAAAATTAAGGCTCAAGAGTAAGTGCCCTTTTTAAATGGCTGCCCCCGCCGCTTCATGTTGCTTCCGGCGCCCCTGAATGAACGCAATTTGTGCTGGAAAGAAAGTGCCCTATTTGTAGTAGGAAAACTCGGCAAAGGCCATTTCCGACGTTATAGAGATTCCATATAGTTTCAAAAATTTTCGTTCTGCTCGTAAACGACATAAAATCGTTTGATTTGGTCATATTCAAAAGTGCCCCTTTTGGCCAATACCCCTCCACTTTCGAAATGCTTCCGTGGCTTCTGCTGAAACAAACACGGTTTTTTCTAGCCCCCCTCGGCAATCTGACGTACGTGTTGACCAAAACGTCGCTTGCTTAATTTTAATTAAGTTCCTCTTGACATCTCAAGGATGTGACATTTCCCAGATCATCGCGCTTGTATGTACAGGAGCTCTGTAGCTGTCTTTAATTATGAAAAGCCTTTGAGTATTAAATGTACGAAAAAGGGTAAAAGTTTGTCAATTTGATATTTTAACTATACTCGATTCCCTACATATATAGCAAATATCGATCAGAAGCGAACAGGGGGGACTAAACTGCCCTTTCATATAGCTGTTATCGTAATTGAATACGCCGCTGCGGCGAACCAGCGGTATCTCAGTGTAAGTACGCACGAAAACGAGGCTAAAGGGTCAAAAACCACAAAACATGACCCTATAGCCTCGTCTAGATGTTAAAATAATGCAGATACCGCTGGTCCGTAACATAGACGTATTCAATTACGACTGATAAAAGCTATTCGCTGGTCAATGACGCAATTTTGTCTTTGAAAATTGCTAGGGAGTTTGCCAATTTGCTAAAAAAGTCTTTCAATATTTTTTGTATTTTAGACTACCAAATTTCTTAATTAGTATTTAGCTTACCCGGATATGTTATAACTTTAGTATTTACTCATAAACTTACTTGCCATATTCTGTCGGTATGGGGGGGGGGGGGG